TTGCGCCCTTTGAGAGCAATTGAATCCCCTGTACTGTGTTTATAGCACACCGGTGAGTCCTAGTTCATCAAGATTTGATTAGTAGGTTTCATTGGTTGAATTTCTTCTACGGTTATGTTGTACATTCTCCTCCTGACAAATATAACTCCACAGTTTGTTAGTAAGCGTGTTCTTTGCTCTCTGCTTCCTTCCTGAATTTGCACGTGCCATGTTGGACTACCAATCTTCTTCAAATGTCGATTTAGTCCGCAGTGTCATGTTATGAATCCTTGTAGCTTAATTCTGGTGCCAATCGATGCAGCAGGAAATTTTTCATAAGAAAACTTAAAATTCGTGGAAAAAGAATTTTCGGATTTTTGTTGAGCGTGTCACTTGGTATTTTAAAGAAATGTTAATGTTCTTTCTAGTGAGATGGTAATGAGTTTATAAATAGTTATTCAGATATCGTGAGATGCGGCCTGGTGTGATGTAGGTTTCAGAAAAACATTTTCTTTATCGAGCCAACGTTTCGATGTTTATTGAGATCATCTTCAGGGCCTGGGATTTACAAACATTGTTTACATATAACAATTAAATTGTCTAATCCGCCTAACGGGATATTCGACCGGTACCGTGGGAGGTGGTTAGAATTAACATTTGGAATGATTTTTTTTTAATCCCGTAGAAGTTTGATTTCTTCGTTGAAGAATTAATGTCATGCCCAGTGACAGCAGACTTACCGCATTTGCTGACTACTTGACGGACGTTTACGTCGACAATGAAGCAACTTTTCCTCCATCCATTTGGGCATTGATGTAGCGCAGGCCTTAATTTAACGACCAACACATGCGAAGCCTTCCATTTCCATCATGCTAAATATTTCTCTTCGTATCATCCTTATATCCATATGTTTGTTGCGGGGCCGTTGGATATTCAAAGAATAAAGTACATCCAATAGAACACTAGAGGAAATACTCCAAAGTTCTAGAATTCCACAGCAAGTATGAGGCACGAATTTTTACAAGAACAAGTTTTGATGTTCAAAACCGGGCAAATCACCCCTCTTGATAATTCACTAGTTTTCGAGGTCTGCTTGACCAATTGATGTTTTTCAATTAATTGAGGTTTTTAGTTGAGATAAAAAAGTCAGTGTCACGAGAGGGATTCGAACCCACGACCTTCGGCTTGATACGCCGCTTCTCTATCACTTGAGCTTTTTCTAAAACCTACGTCACACCAGACCGTATCTCACGATCTCCAAATAATCATTAAAAATATATTTTTTTACCATCTACAATTTCTGATACAACATGTAATTTGATGAAAGGAGGTCGCAGGACCATTTCTTCACAAGACTCTTGCGGGGTATGGTTGTGCTTTGGAGGCGAAGCAAATATTATTAAATATATTTTTTCAATTACAATTAATTAAGGTTTTTAGTTGAGATAAAAAAGTCAATGGCACGAGCGGGATTCGAACCCACGATCTTCGGCTAGATACGCCGCTACTCTACCACTTCAGCTATCGTGACTTCGATCCACTCGGACCTTAGCTTCCCATCTCAACCCCACCTTTTGAATTTTCCCTCTTTTTTGCCATTTTTCAAATGTCGTGTAATCTATTTGATTCTTGAGAGCTTTAGTGAAGTATACTTCATTTTAACTTATTAAATTCACCAGTTTTCGTGGTCTGCTTGACCAATTAATATCTTTCAATTAATTAAGGTTTTAATTTAATGTTGGGAAGTTAGTGCCCGAGTGGATCGAAGTCACGATAGCTCAAGCGGTAGAGTAGCGGCCTATCTAGCCGAAGGCCGTGGGTTCGAATCCCGCTCGTGACACTGACTTTTTTATCTCAACTAAAAACTTTAATTAATCCTCTTGATAATGTCACACGAGTTTCTTGGCCCTACCGCCGTACAAAATGATACTGCATACCTAGCGAATTTTCTTTTCGACAAATGTTTCGTAAAAACATGTGTACCTACTTTGTAATACATGATATTAAAAAGCAGTAGAATTTCGATCCAACCCTTCATCTACCTGCAAGGTGAACGGTGGAATTACGTTCTCTGGAATCGGTGGAATTTACAATCACCCATCACTGAAGATTGTGAAAAGCCGAACCGCTTAACAGACAAAACCGATCAGATTAGGACCAAATTACAGTTACGACGGATCTTTTAGTCCACAGTGAAAGTACAAGATGTACAAAATACATACAAACGCATACTAATCATTCCTAAGTTAATTATGTATTGGGATACTTGCAAATTATTGTACAAGTCGATCCGGCTTGGTGATGAAATCCGGACGGTAAGAGCTTGGACAGTTGGCCCAGTAATACGATTAGTTATGCGACCGGTACTTCTAGTTAGTAAGCCGGCTAATTTGACTGTAACCAAAGGGGCTGTTTACGACAAAGAGGCCTGAAATAATGCTAACACAGTTTGTCGACGAGGGCTTCCCTTGCATTTAACAGGCAAGGCCAATTGGACCTTTAAACGAAAATCAAGTCCTTTAGAATTTATCCGTTTTGAAAAAGTAATAGGATGGAGGATATTTAAGAAATATAGAAAAACTGAATTGCATTGGATTTTTGTTTTGTAAAAATTAAATTACACTAACATTTAATCACAAGATGATAGCAGATCAAAGAAGTTGATTGAGATAACTGGAAAAACGAATGAATGACGTGTTAGATTACTTCTACTGGGACTTCATGTTTAATAAAATATAAATCAATTATAATTTAGTATCAATTCAATTTGAAACTAAATAAAGGTTAATTAAACGTCAGTGCCACGGGTGGGATTCGAACTCACGACCTTCGGCTAAATACGCCGCTGTTCTACCACTTGAGCTATCGTGACTTCGATCCTCTCGGACACCAACCGCAACCTACAACCGTTCGAATTTTCCCTCCTTTTGCCATTTCTAAATGTCGAGTAATCAGGATTCGATTCTCAACGACTTATGAAAATGGCCACGGAGAGCTGTTAGTCAAGTGATACTTCTTTTATTTATTAAATATTAATCCATTTATGTATTAGTGGTCAATTGTCCAAGTTACTCCTTTAATTAGTTATTCTTTTTATGTAAGGTCTTGGTTGAGATAAAAAGTCAGTGTCACGAGCGGGACTCGAACCCACGACTTTCGGCTAGATACGCCGCTGCTCTACCACTTGAGCTATTGTGATTTCGATCCGCTCGGACAAGTTTTATCTCAACCAAGACCTTACATAAAAAGAATAATTAATTGAAAGACGTTACTTGGTCAATTGACCACTAATACATAAATGGGTTAATCTAAACTTTAGGAAAGATGAAATTTACTTTATTGACACAACAAAACCGAAATATTTGTCAAACGATAAATATAACTATAAATATAACTGCTACCTCCTCCAAATAATACCCACATCATTACTGGAAATTGTTTTATATTCTTTAAACACGTGAAACCTGAGTAGAAGACGTTTTTGAAAGAAAAATCAAACTGGTTGGGAATTCGCCGTCTACAGCACCAATCATAGTGTTTATCTTGGTTCTTCCCATTGCTATCTCTTCCCATAAAACGCACTTCATTATAGAAAATTGTTTCAAATTCTTTAAATACCTGTAAACATAGAAGACTTTTAACAATAAAAATCCATAAGTGGTACAGCTTGCAAATTGGACCTTTTGAGCGCCAAAGCGTTTCACTTCCGAACAACACTCACTTCATCATAGGAAATTGTTCCACATTCTTTAAATTCGTGTTAACTGAGTAGAAGACTTTTTTAACGATAAAAATCCATAAGAGGTACAGCTTGTGATTTGGACCTCTGCAACACCATCCATTTGGACATGACTTCAGACTTTGATACACTTCCGGGCAACACTACTTCTTAGGAAATTGTTTTATACTTTTCAAATATGTGATACTGATTAAAAGACTTTGTCAAAATAATCCATGAAGTTGTACTGCTCGGGATTGATCGTTGGGCCTATACAGCGTCAACCACGAACACGTTTCTTCAGACTGCTACACCTTCCAAACAACACCCACTTCATTACAGGAAGTAGTTTTCAGACATTGCTAACTCGTAAAAAGTAATAAAAAAATGTTTGTTTAACAATACAAATCCAAAAAACGGTACAGTTTATGAATTGGACTTCTTCAGCACGGACCATATTACCTTAAAATCAGACTTCTATCAGTTCCAAGCAACACTCACTTCAAGTAATGCAAACTGAGTAGAAGACCTTTTTGTACAAAAATCCAAAAAGTGGTATTGCTTGGGATGCGGATCTCTGCCACACAAGCCATATAGACCTGACCATGCTTCTGCAGACTAGAACCTCTTTCCAGCAACACTCATATAGGAAGGCTTTTTTTAATCCAAAGAGTGGTACAATGTGAAATGGACCTTTACAGCACCGACCAAATCTGACTTAAGACTTTTGCCACATCCAAGAAGGTGTTACTTCATTATAGTCGAAAATTCCACGTCCTTGATGCTGCTGCCGCTACTTGGAATAACCACTTAAAGTCCGAAGGATTTTCGACTACCTTGAAAAATCCTTGAATCGATTATCGCCATCATCTAAATCGAGTTTAGTAATCTCCTTTCCATCAACCATGCTCCCAGCATAAACTAGCTTCACTAACACAGCTGGTACCACTCTCCCGGATCGCAACCCCACAAATTTATCAAACTCAAGCCTCCACTAATTTGTCATGGGGTACTCGAATGAAGTTATACGATTTTATTTATTTTTATTCGTCCGATAATGGATTCCCGGATTCTGACTACTGAGGGGTCAGAGGTCGGTAACGGTTCTGATAAATGGTTCGTATCTCTGGAGGAAAAATTCCAATCAAGAAAATTCCAACGTATCAATAAATTCCATCAAAAATAAAATTACTCGTCCAATAAGCGTAATTGCAATTGTCGTAAGAACTTTTTCAAAATCAATATTTTTCACTCTTGCTCATCATCCCTAACCATATGATTAATGTTTCGTCAACCGTTGCAGGATTAGAAGACTATGTGGGACCGGTAGTATGGCCTGGAGGTTTTTCAACCTAATGCTAGCTCTCCTTACGCTTGCAGGTAAGCTTTTTTTACAACTTTGTCTATTCAACTTGTCCTTTTTTTAATTTTCTACATTAGTTTATTAAGTTTTTTATAATTGTTACGGTTTATTTCGTATTCAAATTAGGAAACGTGATAACGTATAGTTGAACATCATCATTGATGTATGGTTGTAACCTAGGCCGTTTTGTTTGTATTTTAAACAAAAATCGATTTGTCTTTATTAACTACAAATTTAAGTTATCTTTGTCGAAGAATAAAGGCTCATTATCGTTAATTAAACTTTGTGAAAAACCATAAACCGTGGAGCTAATTTCAAAAATAAGACCAGAATTTTCTCTTTGTCATTTTAACACCGGCCTGCTTTATAAACATTTCATAAATTAGCTAAGGTGTAATATATAAATTAATTATTTTATTTTTACAGTGTTAATGATGACAAAAAGCAAATAAATCAAACCCAAATCTTTCAATTCGATGGGCAAAAAATATTTCTTTTACATTCAATTTGCAAGTAATACCTTTAGTGCCACAATTAGTTGGTTTTCGACATCAACTGTCATTTCTTTGAGTAAATTTTTGTATAAGATTCATGGCAAACATATGAAAAAATTTCGTAATGGTCCTAGGGGCTTAAAGAACTATCGTTTTCTATTTATCCCTATCGAAATTATGAAAAAACATGAACAGGTTTATAAAGCTTAATTTTTTTATAAGCAACTCCTTTATCCTTATTAAATGAAAAATTATAATACTACTTTAAATTTTGAAACTTAACTCCAACTAAACTAGAACTTTTTAAGTAACCTATACACTGGATACTTCGTCTATTTGTTTTTTCCTTACTAATATTTTGTTATTACCTTAGTGATCTGATTTATTTCTGTTATTTTTTCTATGCGATGTAACTATCTTTTCAGATTTCCAACTAGGTCTCCTATGCGAATTTTTTTTCTATTACACCGAAGTATGCATATTTCATTAGTATTTGTTTGCGTGCAATTTTTTTCCTTTTATGGATATATGGTTTTCATATTTAAAGAAGTGAAATATTAGAACCTAGTTTAACAAATGTAAACTGCTTTGTTGTTTCGCCTTCATTCAACTGAAACCTAATTTTCATGTGTGCTTTTCCTCGTTTGTTTGCTTTCGCGGGGGCAAATGTTTTACAATTATACAGCAAAACCATTATAAATCATTTCTCTCTCTCTTGACTAAAACTCAAGGTAGTTCAAAGAAAGTCTTGCCCGGCTGTTTCGACATTCATAATTTTCACGTTACAACCATCCATAAATCGAACTCCCACGGCGCTGGCTACCATGTTCCAAAGTTTTAAAGTCCATTTCAGCACAGAACTTCGATACCCGCTCGGAAAAAAATAACAAATAGCAGAGTAATGCTGAAAATCCTAACTCAATAATATAAATCATGATGTAGTTGGAATCGAAGAAATTGCAACTATGGAATTTCGAGTTTACAGTATTTTATATACATGATGGTGATGAATGACCGAGAGATTTTTATACATAATTTGTTTATTTATGAGATAGGCGGTCCGCATTTTGGATTTCTCCGGCACTATATGAAGTACCACGTTTATGAATATGTCGTGTAATCGGATAGGATTCTCGGCGACAAATGAAATGGCTTCGGAGAGCTTTAGTGAAGGTATACTTCATTTTAACTTATTAAATTCACTAGTTCTCGTTGTCCGCTTGACCAGTTAATATCTTTCAATTAATTAAAGTTTTTAGTTGAGATAATAGCTCAAGTGGGAGAGCAGCGGCGTATCTAGCCGAAGATCGTAGGTTCGAATCCCGCTCGTGACACTGACTTTTTTATCTCAACTAAAAACCTTAATTACTTGTACATATCATTCAACTAGTTGTGGTGGTGCTTCATTTTGCCCCTTGTATAAAAATTTCTGTCTTAATTATTTTCAGTTTTTTAGTGCTGAAGAACAGAATTTACCTAGAGAAGACCCGATAATGGTAAAATTAACCGACGTTTCAATGAATTTCATGTAAACGCGACAAAAATAATCTCAAAAACTTCTAGCAGGTTCTACCGTGATAATCGATAGTTGCTTGAAACTAAACTATCGGATAAAGAACAAAATTATATTAAAACCGACGTCTTTTCAGCGCGATTTAAAACTTTTTCAGTTGTTTTTGTTTTTTCCTCACCTGAAAATCACATTTTTAGTGCACTTTTCTATGAACGTTAAAGACCGATTTTGATTACGCATTTTTAGAGTAAGTACATGATTTAGAAAATGTGATTTGGTTCTTAATTATTTCAGTGTGACTAACCACGCTTTGTAGGACTGTCAGACGCATTTCGACTTTTGGCCTATTCAGTGTAGATCGTTTAGGGACAAATACGAAAAATCATTCCACGCGACAAATAAATATAAATAATTATTAGGTGGTTATTTAGAGATCGTGAGATGTGGTGTGGTGTGACGTAGGTTTTAGAAAAACATTTCTTTATCGTGCCAACGTTTCGATCTTTATTGAGACCATCTTCAGGGCTGAAAGTGTTTGTTTTCTGTGTCGATGGCATTCTTCTGTATCGTGTTGAGAGTGCCCCAAGATCGAAACGTTGGCACGATAAAGAAAATGTTTTTCTAAAACCTACACACCAGATCGAATCTCACGATCTGCAAATAATCATTAATTAACGGCCACTAAACACCACATTAGGTGGGCTAAATGTGAAACGGGAAAGTTTTGAGGTACCTTAATATAGTTTTGATTCGTTTGTGCTTCCAGCATCTAAGTGTGTTGTCGTTTCAATATAATTTTAGTGAAAACAATTTGCGTCTTTTCTATTATGATCTAATCTATGGTATAGCCGCTGTATGTTGCATGATTGATGAAGTTACTAACCTCAAAAATATTTATTTTGGCTTACTTGACGCTTCTTAATGTTTGTCCAAATGTAGCTCCAAGTAAAACAAGTTTACAGCAGCATTGGCCTCACTATTGCTTTGTTGATGGCGTGTTTATTAATTTTTCTCCTAGATGAGTCTCCATTTTGTCGAAGAAAAAAGGTTTTTATTTGAGATAGAAAAGTCAGTGTCATGAGCGGGATTCGAACCCACGATCTCAACACCACCTCAACCCCACCTTTTGAATTTTCCCTCCTTTTTGCCATTTTTCAAATGTCGTGTAATCTATTTGATTCTCGGCGACAAATGAAATGGCCACGGATAACTTTAGTGAAGTATACTTCATTTTAATTCATTAAATTCAGTATTTCTCGTGGTTCGCTCGACCACTTAATATATTACAATTAATTAAGGTTTTTAGTTGAGATAAAAAATGTCAGCGTCACGAGCGGGATTCGAACCCACGACCTTCGGCTAAATCTGCCGCTGCTCTACAACTTGAGCTATCGTGACCTCGATCCACTCGGACACCAACTTCCCATCTCAACCCCACCTTTTATCTCAACTAAAAGCCTTAATTAATTGGTCAAGCGGACCACGAACTAGTGAATCTAATGACTTTTTATTTGGCTTTTCTTTAGGTTTAGACCTGTGCAATAAAGTTTTTGGTCCAGTCTCTCGCACAAAATCTATTAGTTGTTAGACAAGAAAGGGTCGCTGCCTGGTGGTATTTCTGCTTACCGATCATTCTTTTCATGGCCGACTTTAAATTGTAAGCTACAGCGCTTGATCTCCAGACGGAACAATATCTTTCTATGCCGTTCTCGTAAAAGGCAAATTACAGTGTACATTATTTAGTGGAGAAAGAGAGAGAGAGAGAAATTGAAAAAAACTCTTGGCTCTAGAATAGACCATTGAGGCACCCCAGGGACAATTTTGAAACAGAAGGACGTAGCTTAGGAAATTTATAATCAACCAACCTGTAGACTCCCTTTGGTTCCAATATTATGTGGTTTTTTAAGTACGTTTTTTAGCATTGAACCATGTCGTAACCTCACCCAATACTTAGGCGAAAAGCGAAATTGTATAAAAGCCTGGTCGAAAGCTGAATTGAGTATATGTTTGGTTACTATATGAACATACAATTTTTATTTTATTTTTTAAGAGTTTACTTATGGAGCTGAGGAGACTGCTTGACGAGTAGCTGGTTCGAGCAGTTGGTGATTTACTCGGTTTTCTGACCAAACTTAATTTAGACATTTGTTGCCTGTTTCTGGGAAATAATCAATGAGTAGCATGGCATCAAAAAAGTATGTCACCAGATTCGGTATTGAATATGGCAAAACGCGGCGAAAAAGCATACCAAAAGGGTTGGTAATGTCCAAATTAAATGGTAGGTGCTATTGGCTTTTCCGTGTGCATCAGCAGTCGACCGTTGTAAAGATAAAACGCTATGATCTAATTAATTAAGGTTTTGGTTGAGTTAAAAAATTCAGTGTCACAAGCGGGATTCGAACTCACGACCTTCGGCTAAATACACCGCTGCTCTACCGCTTGAGCTATCGTGACTTCGACCCCCTCGGTCAACTTCCCATCTCAACCCCACCTTTTAAATTTTCCCTCCTTTTAGCCATTTTCAAAAGGTGGATTGAGATGGGAAGTTAGTGTCCGAGTGGGTCGAAGTCATTCAAGTGGTAGAGCAGAAGCTTATTTAGCCGAAGGACGTGGGTTCGAATCCCGCTTGTGACATTGACTTTTTTTATCTCTACCAAAACTTTAATTAACTGAAAAGAATTTATTTGGTCAAGCGGACTACGAAACCTAATAAAAAGTTATGATCTAATTTAAAAAAGCCACAGAATTATTCTTCTGAAAGTTCAATTTCGGTTGTTTCTTTCTGATTCGGGAAGTAATTCGCATCGTGCGCTAAACTACAAAATTACCCAAGAGGTTACCGCAGGTTTGAACATCATTAGATCTAATGGACCTATTGATTAGGCATAAATTGATAAATGATATGCGCCAAGGGTTTTAGACAGATTCCTGTCATAACTCCAGCGTGTTTTTGCCAGAGCGTTCGTGTTAATTCTTTCTTTTATTTGGTCTTTACGTGAATTATCATCCC